GAAACGTACGCAGAGACTTGATCTCGTTCAACTCATACTTTGAACGAGTTCAGTGCTTGAACTAGTTTGGTGAAACTGGCCCTAAATGTTCAAATACACCATTGACAGATATTCGTGCCATTTCTCTTGGAGGGAAAATGAGTTTATAACAGAGGGACAAATTAACCATCTTGAGAAATCCCTTCCTTATCCGGCGTGAAATGAATAAATATGGCAACCTAACCCTTAAATTAAATACATAAAATGTCAGAAAAATAATTTCGCGCGCATCAGATCGTACACATTTTCTGCGCAACTTTTAACCCTCAGATATAATGGGAGAGAATATACAAGTAGATTTCCATTATCAATTCAAAATTTATTTTAGAAGAACTATTTAACTCTCTTCACAAGCAAAGGAAACATACACTTTTTGAACCTCCGAATTTGACACTCCAGTTTTCTCAGTGTAAGATACATTAAACCTACATCTTTATATTCCCGAAAAAAAAATTTGTATTTCCAATTACAACCGGAGATTTTGAATTTTTTGTTGCGCCGTGCGCCGTCTGCTCGTTTGCCGCGTCAAGGCGCTAGCACAGCTCCTACTGCCTGCCTGCCTGCAGGTTGACATGGTAACACATAAGAGTAAGAGAGTCAAAAAATTCAAATTAAATGTTTTTTCTCTCTCACTCTTATGGCGCCTGCCTGCGCAGGCAGGCAGTGAGGTGAGAGTGTACCTTTATCCATCGCTGTGATAAATGCCGCGGTAAACGAGCAGACAGAAATCCGAATTTAAAATTCCATACCTTTTCGATGATTTTTAGGTCAAATTTTTACGAAATTCCAGTGGAATTTTAAATCTAATTTTAATATTTTTGGGCACTTTAAAAACACTTTACTTATTTAATAGTCTCCACCCTTTGGTAAAAATTCTAAAATTATCAAAATTTATCAAAAATTCGAAAAACCGATTTTTTTAAAATTCAACAGTTTTTCTTCTCTTTGATGGTATTTAGCTTTATTATTTTTGGGCTCTTGGAAAATACTTTACTTATTAAATAGTCTCGACTCGTTGGTAAAAAATCTAAAATTGTCGAAAATTATCAAAAATTCAAAAACAGGGTGTCTACAACTAATCTGAAAAAAATTTCCCTGACATTTCCAGGTTTTCCAGGCCTTCTAAAATTTTTTTCCAGGTTTTAAGAATCGACATAATAAAAAATACATTGCTTAAATTTTATTTGATAACACTTTTAAATGACGTGGGAGAAGTATTTACAACGTTTGTCATCAACTTTTTTTAAGAAAGAAACTGTTTTTCACTCAGAAAACAATATATGTTACGTTTACAAAATTATCCTTTTTTAACTTTTTGTTCAAGAAATATTGTAAAAGTTTTATGAAGACAAAAGTTTGAATAGAAAATTATTTTTTCTTTTAAATTATTGGAAACGTCACCAACGTTATAAATTATGAATATAAAATGAACATTTTTAAAAAAATTATCAGGGCTCGAACCAGTGACACAGTATTTAAAAATATGTACTTTACGGACCAAAAATGAAAACGAACCATTTACGAACAAAAATATCAGCAGTCCGAGTCAAATAAGAGAACATTTTACTTAAAATTATTAAATTAAATTTTTCACAACTATAAAACATGAAGATATCAATAACTCCAAGTCTTCGACTCGGAGTGATAGATTTCTTCATGTTTTCTAATAATTAAAGATGATCGAGTGATAAAATCATTATCAATTCAATTATTGTTTTCAACAATTTTTAACTAAAATTCATCTTTAAATCACTGTTACGAAATCTCAATTATTCGTAAATTCTTCAATTCAATATATATTCGAAAATAAAAACTTCAATTAAAAAAATGCAATTAATTATAAAACTACACGCTATACGGCTTTTAATATTCAATTATTATCTAAAATTTTAACTGAAATTCATTTTTATTAGAATTCAATTACAGTACGGTCGCGCTAATCCGACACCTGGTTAATCCGACACTCCTTGTAATCCGACAACAATCAAGATGACCGTTTTCCCCCACCTAAGATAAGTGGGGGGCGCGACGGAAAACCTCAATATGTTAAAATAATTACACTTGCTAGTATTTATCGATTTATATATTAATATTTTATTATATAAAACAATTCAATTGTTATTTACTCATTTTATATAAATATGTAGTGCTCAAATAAACAAATTGAAATAAAGAATGATTATATAAAGATTATAACTATGGATATACAAGTCTAAATGTCGGATTACAGAGTATATGTTGAAAAATTTGTCCGAACTACAGAGGTTTGTTTAAGTACTCGGTAATCCGGACAAATCGCTAATTCGACATTTTCGTGCAAAGCAAATGTCGGATTAACGCGACCGTACTGTATTTGAAAACAAAAATAAATAAATTATTGAATTATTGAATGTTTCTTAAAATTTAATTCTCATAAAGAATTGTACCAACAAATTTTTAAATTGATGACGAATTTCAATAAAATTTTAAAGAATAATTACATTTTTCGAAGAATTCGATTAAAATTGTATTAAAAATAATTGAAATTCTTTGATGATTTTTATTATTTATGAAAATAATTGAGTTATTGCAAAAATTTTTATTAAAATGTTTAAAAAGAATTAAATTATTGTGAAAAATTTTATTATTTTTGAAAATAATGGAATTCTTCATAAGAATTTTATAAAAATTGCTTTAAATAATTAATTTTTTCGAAATGTAAGAAATATTATGAAAATTTTATTTTAAATAATTGGATTCTTCTGGAAAACTTTATTTTTGAAAATAATTGAATTTTTCGATTAATTGATTTAAAATAGTATTGAATTTGTAAATAATTGAATTCATGTTAAATGTTTATTATTTTATGAAAATAATTAAAATTTTTTTAAATAATTAGATTGTTTTGGAAAAATTTTATTAAAATAGTAGACATTGAAAAACATTGAAATGAGGAACATTTTTGAAAATAATTGAAATTTTGCCAAGAATTTTGTTAAAATTTTTGAAAATAATAGAATTTCGGAGAAGAATTTTATTATTTATAAAGATAATAGAAATTTTTACCAGAATTTAAAAAAATTTTTGAATATTTTTTACTAAAAATTTGTAAAACTAATTGTGGGCTTTAAAAATATTGTTCAAGAGTATTTCAAGTCTTGATGAAAAAAATTCCCTGACTTTCGAAAAAATTCCCTGACATTTCCAGGTTTTCCAGAACATTTTTAATTTCCCTGACATTTCCCGGTTTTCCAGGTTTTCCAGGTGTTGTAGACACCCTGTAAAAATCCGAATTTCTTAAAATTCAACATTTTTTCTTCTCTTTTATGGGATTTAACTTCATTATTTTTGTGCTCTTTTGAGAAATACTTTAGGGGAAGTGCGCCGGTTGTGGGCACCCTCCGGTTGTGGGCACCCCTACGTAAACTTCGACGGCAAGCAGATTTTACTGATCTAAGTATTGCAAGTCGTGTTCGTTGACAATACGGACTTTTCGTATTGATAACGAAACAAATATATGCATTTGTGTAATAGCTGTGAGCATAATAAAGAAAATTTGCATTAAATAAATAAAAAAGTAATTTTGTATTGTTTTCGAAGAGCAACATATGGGTGTAGATTCGTTCAGAAAAAAAGGGTTTAATTTTTTTTTTGCAGTGTTGTTATTATATTTTGTGATTTACCTTCGTGTTTAACCAAAATCCTGCATCACAAAATGTGTTGGTCTTTTTAAAAAATGACTGTCATTCCCGGTTGTGGGCACCTTTATGTTAAGGAGGCTCTACCATCTGACAATGATGAGGACTACTGTCTCATCTGTCTAAACTTTCTGCCAAGGAAAGTGACAGCCGCAAACTCCATTAAATGCGATGAATATAGTCGTTCAGTGCATTAGAAGTGCGTTATGTTATGAGTACTAGCTACTTCACATGCAAGCATTATGCTTTTGTTAGCTATGAGCATAGTGTGAAAACGTGTCATCATTTTTGTTCTTTATCCCAGCAAATTCTCTTAAAATAAAGAAACTTTCATTTCTTCTTTATTTGTGTTGGTTTCCTTTAATATTTTTCCATTTTTAGCGGATTTTTCAAAGGTGCCCACAACCGGGTAGAAAATTTTTTTTGTCAAAAAATTCCCATTTCACTAAATTTCTAATAAAACTTTTTTATTTAAAGGAATCAATTTAATTCCTTCACTGACAGTCACCTTAGACCTCTAGCTTTAAATTCGTACACATATATTTGTATAATATGCACATGGACAAATGTTATGAGGCAAAAACAAAAGGGTGCCCACAACCGGAACACTTCCCTTACTTATTTAATAGTCTCGACTCTTTGGTAAAAAATCTAAAATAATAATTAATAGTAAAATTATGAACGTAAGGAAAAATTTAAATACATATATTATAAATATAACAATTTTACAATTTCTAAAATAATTTTAACAATTAAATAATTAATTAAATTTAATAATTTTTTTAACTACTATAAAAATTAAATTCATAAAAAACAAATTCGTAAATTTACCAAATATTTTTACGTAAAAAATTATTTAATTACTTACAAAGGATGCAAACACTTTTATTAATTGTTTGCTTCTAATAAACAATATTGAAAAAATGTACAAGTAATGACTAAATATAATGTATTTTATAATATTGCATTTTATTCAATTTTTATGGACATTGGTATAAAAAAATTTAACAATTTTTTAAATAATAAAAAGTATTTAAAATAAATCTATATTAAAGTTAGATTATGAATAATAAAACAAGAAAATTTGTAAAAAATATTTATTTACATATTTAGCACTGTACATTGTATAGAATAAATTATTAAGTATTAAAAATGATAAAATTCGTGAAATGTATTGTTTTTTTTCATTCTAAAAAGAAAATGATAAAATTATAAATTCGATTATAAAAATTTTAAACTTTAACAAGAATTAATCAATAAATAAAGATTTTTTTTTAAATAAAAAATGTTTCCGTCATTAATTTTATTTGTGTCAGTACTTACTGTACAATTACAAAATTTTCAGCAATAGCTAAATTAATAAGAAAATTTTCTACTGCTGCTGCTAAATTTTTTTCTTTTATAATTCGAGCACTTATTGTTTTTTTCTTTTCCTTTGTCTCCGATTTTGCAATCGACGTCAATTGACTGAGAAGATCTCGTGTCTTATCCGCAATTTCGGTTATTATTTGAGCTTCACTATATGTTTGATTTTCACTTAGTTGCACCAAAAAGAGTGCAATTTCTTTGTGAGTTTTCGTCATTGTCAGACTTTCTGAAAATTATTTTTAAATTATTAATAACAGATTGACCTATATTTCAAATAATCTGATAAAAAAATATTTCAATAATTCAGGGTGGTCACAAGTTTCAGTTTATCAATTTCCCTGACATTTCACTGACAATTTACTAACAATTATTTTCCCTGACAAAATTTTTTTACAGGAAAATATGAAAGTTTACGGTAAACGAGTGATATTTATGAAATTTAATAATTTCTAAAAATTACAACTATAACCTTTCCTAAATTCAATTATTTTCTATAATTTCCAACTAAACTTTATCTCTAAATCAATTATTTTAAATAATTTTCAGAAAGTTCTTCGAGAATTCAATTATTTAAATACGAAAATTAAATTTTTTAGAATAATTTAAATAATGTTATTATTTTTTGGATGTATGAATTTTCGGAAATATATAATTGAAAGTATTGATAATACTAAATTTTAAAAAATTAGATGCTAATTTTCATTAATTTTCATTTTTAAATTTACGTTTAAAGATTTTTTATTCAAATTTTGGATAATTAAATTATTTTGAAAATTTGCAATTAAAATTCTTCAAAAGTTGATTTTCAAAAATTTTAACAAAATACTTGAAAAAAATTCATTATTTTCAATTAAATTTTACAAAATTTTAATTATTCATTAAATCTTTTTAATTGTATATTTCAAAAATTAAAATAAAAAAATGATTCAAAAGTAATTTCTGAAATATTTTTTCTAGTTATTTTTTGCACTATCAACGTCGAAATGAATTATGAATGAAAAAAAAATATATATTTTTGCAATATTTTGGAAAAAAAGTCGAAAAAGTCGCAATTTTTAAAAATAAGTCGAAAAAAATCTGAATTTTCTAAATTTCCCTGACAAAAAAATTTTTTTTCCTGACACTTCCCTGACTTTATTGACTTTACTGACATGTCGCCATCCTAATAATGAATTGAAAGAAAATTTTTCCAATTTTTGAAATAAAAATTAAAAATTTTTGAAATTAAGATTTAAAAATACATTTGTCAAAAATAATACTAACTTTTATTATTAATAATAGAAAAATAAATATTTATTGAATGGACAATAATTTGTTTTTTTTACCTTTAGCATGATTAGCAACTGTAATTTCTCTCGCTGGCAGATTTACAAGCAAATCGTACAATTCTGTTTTCGACGAAATTGAACTATCAGTGCATCCCATCACATAATATTGATGGCTCTATAAAATATTAAAAAATTGTTCATGATTATTATTTCCATTATTGTTATTTTTTAGAATTCTATTCACTTACTTTTAATTCTAAAAGTTCATCTTCAACTAAATCAACCCAGGGTCGAAGATAAAGTGAAACTCGATGATGTGTCATTAAAGCAGGAAACGTTTGTATCCATTTTAATAACTGTTCGACACTATGATGATAAACTATAATTTTCTTTTTAAGTAAAAGAGCAGTATAAATAAGTATTGTCTCAAGTTCAAATGTCTTTATCAATTCCCTTACGTTGGTATTTAATTTAGACAAATTTGTATTAAATTCATCAGAAATAAAACTACCATTTTCTGAGAAATTACATGAGCCTGTCGTATAAACGAGTATGTAAATTTTAAAAACCTCAACAGGACTTCCTGTTTTACAGTAAGTTTTACTTAAAACGCGACAAAGAATTTCATATTTTTGCGGATGAAATTCTCTACTAAAAATGACAGTTGCTACTTGTTTCACCTACGAAAACGAAAAACAATTTATACAAAATTATCTACATTTGTTTGTATAAATACATTTAAATGATTTTAAGCAAAGAATAAAATTTTAGAAGAATGAATGGATTACATGGATGCATGTAAATTAAAATTATAAAATGAAACTTTAATTTTAGATTTTCACTAACCTTGGGTAGTGTATTAGACTCAAGAATATCGCTGCAATAAATATAAAACCATTCATTTTGATGCCTTGAGAATACAAAAGAAAGTCCATTACTTTTTTCTGATTGTAAATTATATTTTCTGGTAACGATTGTTTTTTGCGACTCTGTTACTGCCGGATATCCCCAAGTAAATAAATTAGCACCATTGCAGTCTTTTTCTGAAAAAATAAAAAACAATAATTATATTCTTTCAATAGTAAAGAATAAAAATATTCCATTTGTTGCTAAAAATAACAATTCAATTTAAAATCAACATACTGTCAAACAACTTTAGGTTTTAATTTATGTAAAACAGTTATATAATTTGAAAACGAACTATTTAATAAAACTAAGACCCAGAAAAAGATTTAAAATATCTATTTATAATTTAATAATAAATAAACTAATTATATATTTATGTCATACAAATATTATTCTACAGGCATTAGATTTTGAGGTTATAACCTATAAAGTAAGATACTATCTGACGATTAATATGAAATCAATATTATCACTATTTTTACTGATTAATGTTAACTTGATAGTAAATTTAATCGAAAATATTTAAACATAACATAAAAGTTTAAAATGTAAACAAAAAGCGACTAAAAAATCAAAACAAAAAGTGACACTTGTATATGCATGTTTAAATAAAGTATTCATTCTTACCACTTGGACTTTGGTAAAACTAAAAAGTCGTTTTACAATATTGTTAACTTTAAATTAATAATTTATTAAGTGTTTAAACATTTAAATTATTAAAAATTTTACCTAATAATGCACAAGATATCAATTCAGTGAGAGGCGCCATTTTGAAATAAATTTGATCACGTGACCATTGGGGGCGTTTACTTCGAACATTAAAGTCCAATCCACACTAGTCTTTAATTGGACAAGTTGTATATTTTTTAAAAAAGAATAAAATGTTTACAACAATTTTGAGAAATTAAAAAATAATTTATATTTTTCATGTTAAAATTTACATTTCTAAATAATGACACATGAGCTAAATATGAGACATTTTATAAATTAAGTTATTTTTTAACTTCATTTGGACATCTTTGCATTCAACGTATGAATTTTGCATAAGACTAATTTTCAATTAAAAAAAAACAAATTATCATTTTCTACACGTCATTAGTAGTAATTTTAATAATTTTAAGATTTCCATAGCTATTTAAAATATCCAGCTATTGTAATAATTGTCAACTTCTTTGTAAACTTATACTGATTTGACTCACGTTTACGACTCGGTCAGCCATTTTTATTTAGTGTCTGCCTTTCATCCGGTACACGCGGTATACTTATACTGTCAGAAAATTGATAAATTCTGATTTTATAGTGCATTTTTTGGGCTTCCTAGTGTTGTTAATGCAAAAACAGTGATTCCACTATTTTGACGCAATGGCAAGATATGGGCAAAGACCCGAAAACGCCCTGAAAAGGGCAAATGGTAAGTCCAACCTTTACACCACATGACAATAATACAACATGGCTGAAAATTCTTTTTACACAAGTAGCCCGACCCCATTTGCACTTTAAGACTTATTCAATATTTCCTATGTTTTTCTTCTAAAACTATTATTTCTGCTTTATTTAAGAAATGGAGTGATCCTTTTTTGACCTAATTTATTTAGCAAATTGCTTAATTACAATTAAATTTAACTCATAAGTTTTGGCATTTGATCAAGGTAAACGTTAACAGCAAACATATGCCTCGTACATCATTATTTTCTAGAATAAAATATGTATTCAAAAATCGAATACGATAAAATTTTTATGTTTTTTTTCCTTCTTTGTATTAGACAATTTACTATTTTTCTACTAACGTTATCATTTTTGTTCTCATTGATATGCATTGAAAGTAATTGTAGAAGGAATTCATGAAAAAGCAAATAAAAGCTTAGAGTGAGAGTTAGAAAAATAAAATAAAATTGCAATGCATTTCCGTTCTTATTTGAATTGAAATTTGATATTTTACATTATGTAGTGTACTATTTTATACTAGTGATTTATTTGACTTACTAATATTTACTAAAATCAGTTTTATTAACTAAATTGTTTTTTATTGACTTAGTTATTTGATATATGTAATGCAAATATTTGAAGATAAGCAGATATTTTAAATTTTATTCGGTCTGAGGATTTGAAATTTTATTAAATATTTCAAAGACAATTGAGGTTAGAAAACTTGTTAATTTATTTATTACTTTTTAAAGAAACTAAAAAACATTTATTTCAGGCTTCGTACTCATTTACTAAAACCTACTATTTACTACTTTTTTTACGATTTGCTACTACCTATTTTAAAAAAATTTTATTATACTTCATAAGAATTCAATTATTTTTAAAAATTTTGATATAATTAATTGTTTATTAGAATTTAATAATTATTTTTAATACATTTTTAATTAAATTTTGAACTTAATTATTTTCAAAAATTTTAATAAAATTCTTCGTAATAATTCAATTATTTTTAAACAATTTTAATAGAATTCTTTGTAGAAATTTAATTAATTTCAAAAAATGTTCGAAATTCAATGATTTTCAAGATTAACTATTTGAATAATATTCCCAAAAAGAATTCAATTGTTTAAAAATAGATGTTAATAAAATTCGTAGCAGGAATTCAATTACTTTCGTAAGTTATAAAATTCTTTGGAAAAATTCAATTATTTTCAAAAGAATTTGAATCAAATTTCTTAATGGAATTTAATTACATATTTTTAAAAAGTTTAACAAAAATTTGTTGATAGAATTCACATATTTTTCAAAATTGTAATAAACTCTTTAGAAGAATTCAATTATTTTGAGTACAATTTTAATAAAATACCTCCTACGAACTTAAATTTTCTTCGAAACAGTTGTATTTATATTTTTACAAATTTTATTTTTTGTCTAAAATTTTCATTAATAATAAAATTTTCACAGGAATTCAATTATTTAATTAGTTTAATTAAATTACAATTATTTTTAATACAATTTTAAATAAATTCTTCGAAAAAAGCAATTATTCTTGAAAATTTCCTTAAAATTGTTCGAAAGAATTTAATTATTTATAAAAATTTTGACAAAGTTAAAGAACTTTATCAACATTTTTATAAATAATTGAAAAATATAAGTATTTAATTTTAAGAAATATTTAATTATTCAATAGTTTATTTATTTTTGTATTTAAATAATTGAATTGTCGTCGAACTTTCGAATAAGAATTGATTTAAAATTCAATTTCAGTACAAATTTTAGATAATAATTGAATATTAGAAGTGTTTTAGTATAAATTTGTAGAAATAATTAAATTTCAATAAATTTTTAAATTGAAATATTTGAAAATTTTTATTCTGGTAATACTAATAAATAATAATGTTTAAATTTTTATTTTGAAGTAAAAGAATTGAAGTTTGAATAATTTTATTTAAAGATTTAAAAAAAAGATTGAATTTTTTAAGAACTACAGTTATAATGTTTAGAAATAATTAAATTTCAAAAAGGATTTACCTTGAAATCATTTCAAATTTAATTTTTCGATAGCGACTTTTTTATTACTTTTTTCCAGTCTTAAAGATACTTTTTGTTACTTTCTTAAAATTAATTATCTGGTACGAAGTCTGTTATTTTTACTATAGTAATTATTATTTCAATTTGATTATAAAATAACTTTTTTCGTTTTTTTTAGAATTCATCGAAGTCGGTAAACCGGCAAGAGCTTTAGACACTCTTCAAGAAGTCTTCCGGAATAAAAAATGGACATACAGCTGGTCCGAATCGGTTCTCGAACCGATTATGTTCAAATATCTGGATCTTTGTGTGGAATTGAAAAAATCCCATATTGCCAAGGAGGGTCTGTTTCAATATCGGAACATGTTTCAATCTGTAAATGTTGGAAGTTTAGAAAATGTAATTCGTGGTTATCTCCGTATGGCTGAGGAAAAAACTGATGCGGCACGAAAGCAAAGTCAACAAGCCGTTATAGATATTGACGACCTTGATAATCTCGCAACACCCGAAAGTATATTACTCTCAGCAGTGAGTGGCGAAGACGCGCAGGATCGAAGTGATCGCACCATTTTAACACCATGGGTGAAATTTCTCTGGGAATCCTACTGCCAATGTTTAGAATTATTAAGAACAAATGCTCACGTCGAGACGCTCTATCACGATATTGCGCGCATGGCTTTTCAATTCTGTCTCGAGTATAATCGTAAGACTGAATTCCGTAAACTCTGCGAGAAATTGCGCAAACATTTGGAGGATATTTGCAAACTCCCCCAACTTGTGTCAAATGTGTCAATAAATAAGGCTGAAACACAACAACTTAATCTCGAGACACGTTTAAATCAACTCGATTCGGCAATTCAAATGGAACTTTGGCAGGAAGCCTACAAGGCAATTGAAGATATTCACGGTCTTATGAATCTCTCAAAGAAAATGCCAGTCCCAAAGACAATGGCGAATTATTACCAAAAACTTGCCATGGTCTTTTGGAAAGCTGGCAATTATTTATTCCACGCTGCGGCTTTATTGAAACTTTTACAATTGTCACGCGACATGAAGAAGAATATGTCCTCAGAGGAACAACAACGTCTTGCTAATCGTGTTTTACTTGCCGCTCTATCGATTCCTTTGCCTTCTGCTCATCCCGAATTTGATCGCTTCATCGAGACTGACAAGAGTCCACAAGAGAAAGCTCAGAAACTTGCAGTTCTCCTGGGTCTCAATCAACCACCCACGCGTGTCTCTCTTTTGAAAGATATCGTTCGTCTAAATGTCATCAATCTTGTTTCCCCACAATTGCAAAACTTACACTCTTGGTTGGAAGTTGAATTTCATCCCCTCGAGCTCTGCGGTCGTGTTGACTCAGTCATTCAAACTCTACAGGCCGATGAGACCAATCCCTTGGCTCAATATGTTCCCGCACTTCAAGACGTCACACTCGTTCGTCTCGTTCATCAAGTCTCGCAAGTTTATCAAACAATTCAACTTTCTCGTTTATTGGAACTCGCCAAATTCACCACCGACTTTCATTTGGAACGCCTTCTTGTCGATTGTGTTCGCTACAATGACATGCAAATTAGAATCGATCATCGAATGACTTCCATTCACTTTGGCGTTGATTTGTCCGAGGCTCAAAGGGAGGATCATCCAGATGGTCCAATTTTGCAGGCAATGCCGTCTGAACAAATTCGCTGCCAATTGGTTAACATGGCCAAGGTGCTGCATCGTTCCATCAATGTTATCAATCCCAATAAAAAGAAACAAGAGCGTGAGAAGTTGCGCAACGCAATGGTGAATTATTACCACGAAACCAAAAACGACGAGCATAAGATAATTTTGGGAAGACATAAAATTATCGAAGAGCGTAAAGAATATATTGAACATATTAATACAGTACGTGAGGAAGAGGAATTAAGACGACAGGAGGAGGCACAACGAGCATTAATGCTTGCTGAGCAAAAACGTCTCGAGCAAGAGCGCGAGGAGAGGGAACGTAAACGACATCAAAGTGAAATTCAACAAATAAAGGATCGCCATCTTAAGGAGAAAATGCAACAGATTTCACAAACAAGTCACGGTCAGAAGGTCCTCAAAAAGCTTGATGAAGATGAAATAAAGAAATTAGACGCCGAACAAATTGCAGCTCGCGAAGCCGAGGAATTACAAAAGGAGCGTAGGGAAATGCAACAAAAATTAAAATCACAAGAGAAGAAGGTCGATTATTTGGAGCGTGCCAAACGAATTGAGGAAATTCCCCTTCTAAAGAAGGCCATGGAAGATAAATTGGAATTGGCGAAACAAAGATGGGAACAACAAGAGCAAGAGAGAATTCAAATTGCCATTGAGGAACGTCAACAAGCTGTCGCTACGAAAGAACGTATGGCAAGAATGAAAGAAGATCATGATATATTCTTGGAGAAGATTCTCGCCGAACGAAGCAGTATTTATCATGAGAAATTACGTGAATTTGAAAAGAAATTAAATGAAGCTCGCGCTAGAAAATTATTGGAACGTAAGGTTCAAAGGAAGGCAGAGAGAAAAGCTCAATGGGAGAAGGAACGCGAAGAGGCTGCGGAACGTAAACGACAAGAGGAATTAAGAATCAGAGAGGAGGAAGAGAGAAAACGATTGGAGGAGGAACGAGCACAGAGAGAGGAAGAGGAAAGAAAACAACGTGAAGAGAAAGAAGCCATTGAAGCCGAAAGATTGGCGAAATTGAATCAAATTGCAGAAATCGCCAAAGCTAAGAACGAGGAGATTGAGCGAAAACTAGAGGAGCAAAAACAAAAGGAAAGAGAGAGTATGAGAGAAAAACCAGAAGTTTGGAGAAGTAGTGGCAGTAGATTCGAAAGAAGTGATCGTGACAGAAGCGATCGTGACAGAACCGATCGCGAGAGAAGTGATCGCGACAGAAGCGATCGTGATAGAATTGATCGCGACAGAAGTGATCGCGACAGAAGCGATCGTGACAGAAATGACAAACAAGAAAGAAGTGACACCAGATCAAGTAATTTTCTTTTTCTCTCCATATTTAACGAATTTTGCCTCATTTACTTAATTTATATTTAAAACAAATTTTTTCTCTACAGTGGAATCCTGGCGATCGGCATCTTCAGCTCCAAAAGATAATGATGATAATGGGTAAGATATTTTTAATCTATATAATTATAAATAATATACTCGATAAGTGTAATTTAAAAAAATTAAATTAATTACTGAAACAATTGAATTATCTTTGCTATCATTTTAACTGAATAAAATTACAGACCTAGGCGGGAAAATCGAGATGACGATGACAGAAGGGATAATTCTTCGCGTGATGATGGCGAGAAACGCTTCCAAAAGAGAGACTTAAGCAAATTGGTAAATGTAACTTTCAAATTAATTTTTAAGTACAATTATTGCAGGCCTCAGATATTACGACTTTTTTCCACTATTTTAAAAAAAATTAAACTATTTCGACTTTTTTTGCAAATATTGCAGCAAAATAGCACTTTTTAAATATAAAATGCAACTTATTTCGATTATTTTAGTGTAAAAAATAACTAGACAAATGTTTCAAAAATTATTTTTGAATAATTTTTGTAAGATAATTAAATTTTTTAAATATATAATTAAAAAATGTTTGAATAATTGAAATTTTGTAAAATTTAATTGAAAATAATTGATTTTTTTAAAGTATTTTATTACAATTTTTTGAAATCAACTTTTGAAGAATTTTAATCGCAAATTTTGAAAATAATTGAATTCACAAAAATTTTAATGAAAAATTTTCAAGTGTAAATTAAGTAATGAAAATTAATGAAAATTAGCTTCTAAAAATGATATCAAAATATTTTTTAAAGAAGTAATTCTTAGAATTGTATTATCATAGGTTTTTAAGATTCAATTATTATCTTCGAACAAAGTAAATTAAAATTTTTTTAAATTTAGTTTTTTAGACTTACTTATTAAACTTTTGGAAAAATCATGTTCATATTTTTAATTAAAATTCTTCAAAAATTTTATTATTTTTTTATATTTTTCAAAAATTCAATTATATTTAAAGGGTTTTACCAAATTTCAATAATTGTTTGGAAATTTTTCAATAATTGAAAAATTATTATCTTTCAAAATATTTTTCAAAAATTAATTTAAAGAATTTTTTATATAACATGAACAGTTGCAGTTACAATTATTAGAAAAAAATTGGATTTTTGTATTTAAATAATTGAATTCGCAAAGAACTTTCGGAAAATTGTTCAAATTAATTCTGCCGTCCTGATGAAGAAAGCCGGTACTTGCATTCATCAGGACGGCAGAATTGATTTAGAGATGAAGTTTAATTAAAAATTGTAGAAAATAATTGAATTCTCAAAGAACTTTCGAAAAGCTATTAAAATTAATTGATTTAGAGACGAAGTTTAATTACAAATCGTAGAAAATAATTATAATTTTTAGAAATTTTAAATTTCAGAAGATTTCAAATTGAAATTTAAAAAATTTTATTTCCCGTTGAAAAACAAATAAAAAGTATTTAAATATTTATTAAACAAAAGTACTCAAGTTTCGAAAAATTGAATTTAGAAATCAGTGAAAGTTCAGGGAAATACAAAATAAAATTTTTGTGATAACACTGAATTAAATAAACGATTTTTTGGACTTTTTTTCTATTTTTAATCGACTAAAGCGACTTTTTTGCGCCTTGAAGTCTATCTGAGGCCTGTTATTAAAATATTGATTGGAATATAATCTGAAAAACAATTGTTAAGTGTTTTAGTTTTTATAAATAGAATTTTTGAATTTAAAAATTTTATAATAATTTTATAAAAATAATAATAATATAATAATATAATAATATAAAAATAATAATAAAATAATAATAATAAAATATAATAATATAATATAATAATATAATTTTATAATAATTTTATAATGTTTTAATTCTAATTTTATATTTTCAGAATTTTATAATTCTAATTTTAAGAAAATAATTCAAAATCATTCATTTTTTTGTTTTATGATTTAAAAAAGAACAAAAGTCTTGTTTTTGCGGGGATCACAATTTGTCGTCACCTATTCACCTTTTTTTTATCTATTTGAAATTTGATCACCTATTTTGATTAAATTTTAGATGTAATTTATTTCAAAAGCTGTTGAATTCACAATGTCAAATACATCAAAAAAATGCAGGATTTGTAAAAAACAATTCATTAGCTTAAAAAGACATTTTTGTAACATTCCTAATTTTAAATTAACAATTAGAGTTAGACTTTTTTCGAAATTCAAGATTCAATTATAAATAATCAATCAAAATTTACATTCATTTTAATTCTGATTTAATCTTAATTCTTCAAAACAAAGAACGCTGCAGGATTTACATTAGTTTTGGCTCACAGTCGATTTTTATGTAACTAAGATATTTACATTCTGAACAAGAACTTCGAAATCCCAAAGTTACAGAAAAATCGATTCAAATTTTAAGCTATTTAAGCTTTAATCTTTGATAAAAAAATTACAATTATTTAATTATATAATCCTAAAGTTCGGAACGTTCAAATGAACGAAAGCTTTTTTATCTTATCATTATAAGGAAATAATTATTTATAAAGTTTCTAAATGTAAAATGTAATTTTTTATTGCAATCAATAATTTATGAAAATATTTTTAATAAAAATTTTTCTTTCATTTGAACGAAAAAAAAGGATTTTAATAGATTAATTTTTGTTTTTTTACTATTGCTGATGTTTTATTGAAAAATTGCAATGATTGCAATGATTATGTTGTAATTGAAAGAAAACGAAATTAAAAACCATAGTAAAAATTAGTAATTAATTTAATATTAGTCTAGCGGCGGTTCATGGCGCGATAATCGTCCATCAAATCGTGAAATGCCACCACGTGGAAGAATGGATGATCGTGAAGAACGTCCAAGAAATGTGGATCGTGACAATAGAGATGAACGTCCACGAAATGATCGTCGTAATTTTGAAGAATCATCGCGAAGCGGTGGCGGCGGTGGCGGTGGCGGAAGTTGGAGATCCGCGAAAGACAATACAAGAGACTCGAAGCGAGATGACCGGTAAATATCTCATTCTCCATTAAACTCAAAAATTAAATTTTTGTGTATTTCAGACTTTGTCAAAAAATAATGAATTATTTTTCTTCATTTATTGAAAAAATTTACAACTGTTTTCTTTAATTAAATGAATTGTATTTTTCTTTTTAGTCAAGACGATTTTGACAATGCAGATGAAAAACAACAAGGTCGCGACGAAAGAAAGGAAAACCGAGCACCCGAGGATGATGACGGTTGGTCAACAGTTCTTCGTCGTTAAAATAAAATCTGCATACGAATTATTCAAAAGTTGATTATTATTGTTTTACGTGGAAGAATGAATGAATGAACGAACAGAGGAGTACTTTGAAATTTTCGATACATTTGGTATGTTCTAATAATTTTTATTTCCTTTATTTACACTTTTAGAAAATTTTGATTTTGATTTTATCGAGAATTTTTTATTTTTTATTCTTCAAAGCAATAAAAAAAAACGAATGATTCAAAATAATGTATAATATTACAAATTTACACTAAAGAAAATGTTTTTGATCAATTGACAACAAAAGAAAAATAGTATCTTTAATTTGAAAATGTTTCCTGCTTTTTTTTTCTTTCTCTCATTGGAATTTTATGAAATTAGAATTTGAAGGAAACAGAAAAAAATCGAAATTTTAAATCAAAGATACAATTAATATAATTTTTTTTACTATACGCCTGTGTAAATGTTCGTCAAACAGTCTATCGACGATTTGCGTTTTTTCTGTTAAATCAAGTCTCTTGGGATTTGATGGATTTTTCAGAAGTTATAAAGGCACTGCATGCTACTCACGTAAATCTAGCAAAAATGCAGTCTATAGTTAGAAACTAATTAAACTATCTTCACAGAAATGAAAAATAAAATAAACTTTGATATTCAAGGGAGCTGGAAACTTTCTTGTCAATAAAGTTCTCTTGTATCTATAAAATTTTTAATCTTTTCATACACTTTTTTTCCTCATAGTTCGCGTTTATTTGCAAATTATTAATACTAGCCAAACAATCCGCGCGCAAGCGCGCGGGAATGTTGTATGGAACTGCTTATTTTAAACAATTTGAAACCATTTCATTTTAAAATTTTTTTATAGAAATAATTATTATTACCTAACAAAAAGATGTAACTAATTAAAGGTGGAAGAAGTTAACAATTATAGAGAATTAAATTTTCATTTAATATTATTTTGAAACTTCAAAGTTTACAAGAAAAATTTAACAAATTCGAATTTACATTACTGGACCTAAACTATGGCTAGAATAATTCCAATTAATATCTGGTTCATAAAAATGAATTTAATTCACAATTAATAAAAAAAATATCCACAGCCGATAATCAGCAGGAGGTGAAAAATTATTTTTTGAGCGAATTTTATCTTTTGCATTGCTTATTTTAAACAATGTAAAGCCATTTTAATTTAAATACTTTTTAAAGAAATAATAATAATAACACACTAAACAAAGTTTTAGTTGAAACAGCGATAAGTTTCTCTAGAATAGCGGAAGTATTAATTGAAGCACTGAAAAATTTCGCTAATAATAAGGTGAAATCTGTAGTTTAGCCTGGTAAACATTTTTTGTCGTACATAACGAAAAAAAAAATTAAATTAACATCAGATTTTCTAAAGTCAAAATAACGAATTCAACATAGAAATTAATTATTATCTCAAAACTTTACCAAATTCACCCCAGAAATCACTGAATCCGATAAATTAGAAGAAAGTCATACAATGGAAGCTCTATTTTGAATTTCTAAAATTTAATGTTAAATTTAACGCATTAGAAACAAATTTCAAGTGAATCCGATAAATTTTGTTAAAATACTATTACTGCTGTTAAACTTTCTTGTAGTACAATTGTAGTAAAATTGAATCTCGCAAAAATTGTTATATATTTTATACTTTTACTAGCACAAATAATGCGCGCTAAAGCGCGCGTGAAGTTTCTTATTTCACTTTTAACATATATAACAATAATGTAATTTTTAAATTACATGTCACATGAGAATAAGACTTAAATTTTTATTCCGTTAAACATGTTATATTTTAAGGTTGACTATTGTTCATAGAAAAGCGTGATTGCCAATGAGACGATAATGGAAGATATGTTTATTACAGTATTTTTGACTTATTAATTATCAAAAATAAATTACATTTAATTACAATTAATTACTTATTTGTTTTGTTATTTTGTTTCTAATAGTTTTCTAGTCAAAATTAAATAATATTATTTTCATGTCATTAACATTAAAAAATTCCATTATTCAGAAGAATCCTTCACAAAATCACTATTTTTCTAAATTTATTCAGGAAAATCAGAAAAAAGGCAGATAATTTTGTCATAGGTGCTGGAATAATATTCAATTTCAAGAATTCATAAGAAAATTCTGAATGTTATTCTTCAGCGTTGAAAAGATTTTATTTATTTCAAACTTTTCCTGTTTTTAACAATAATTCGTCTTTACAGATTTAAAATTGATTTTTTTTAAATAATTTAATTATTGAAAAACTGTCGAGAAAAAATTTTTTTTTTATGAATTATTTGGGAATAATTTTTTATTTAAAAATTAAAGAAATAATTGAATTTTATGAAATTTGTATTTAAAATTGTTTTATTAAGTAATATAAATAAGTAGCAACTGTCACGCCCGCCAAATGAAGTATTTAATTTATTATTATTATTATTATTACTCAAAAGAAATAAAATTATCTTTACAAAATTTCAATAAAAAATTCTTCGAAAAATTTATGAAAAATTACAAAAATGTTATCTTTTTAAATTATTGTAATATGTAACAGCTAAACAAACGCGCGCGTGTAGTTTCTCTTAGTATCAATAGATAATTAATAATAATGCCTATAGGCTGCGTCTACAACAGAAAAAATAATGTGTAGAAAATTGTGTAATGTATAGTGTAACTGCCCCTGACAGTTGTCAATGCCAAAAACAATACACATTACACTACAAATTACACATTATTTTTTTTTATTGTAGACGCAGCCATAAACAATAAAAACGGGATTACACATGTGTAATCACAAAAATGAATTCAAATATTTAAAAAAAAACAAAATTTTGTGCGAAAATTATGATTATAAAATAGAAATTATCAAATTATGTCTACTTTTTCGATTAGTAAGAAAAATAAATTTCGTTAAAAATTAAAATTTACAAAATTTATCACTACTTTGCTAACTTTGCATAAAATTATATAAGTGCCTTACTTGTGCCTTCAAAAAATGAATTAATTAAATAATAGAGTTGAAATTATCGATCACCCCGAGTCAGGTTGTTGACTCGGGGTGAAAAAATGAATTAGTTAAAGTTTTTTGAAATGTTACTTCAGTAATTTACGACAAATTCCTGTTACAAATAACAGAAAAACTAAAAAAAATTTGTGAGCAAAAATTTTGAATGCTTTGCTAACTTTGCACAAAATTCATTTTTAAGCCTCCCAATAATAAATTGAATTTTTGAAAATTTATAACTAATTGCATAAATGCAATTATTTTCAAAAGTAATAAAATTTTTCGCAGAAATTCAATTATGTTCAAGAATTTTTTAATATTCTCGTCAAAATGTCAATTATTTTTAAAAAATTTAATAAGAAATCTATTATTTACAATATTTTTATAAATTTCTTCGCAATAATTTAATTATTTTTATAAATAATAAAATTTCTTTTAGGAATTCAATTATTTTCATAAATAAAACTCATGGCAGAGTTTAAATTATTTTTAATACAATTTTAATCAAATTCATCGAAAAATGTAATTGTTCTTAAAAATTTTATGAAAAATCGTTAAAAAAAATCAATGATTTAAAAATGTTTTAATAAAATTCTTTATGAGACTTCAATTTTAAGAAATTTTAAATACCGTAAGTGAGGCTAAATTCGCTCAATTTTTCAATTCTTTTTTAAATAACTTCGGGAAACGATGAAAATAAACATTGGTACTGAAAATATATAATCTTTAATCCTTTATGTTTCCTATTACTGCATAAAGAAATTAAAATATGTTGCAGAAAATTATTTATAAGCCGTTTTTTGTGAGCGACTTTACCTTTAAATGATGGGTAAATTCGCTCACCATTATTATTCTGGCAAAATATATTATAATCTGCAAAAATGAAACTAAATATTCTTTAGAATCAATAAAGAAAAAAATTAAGAACAATATACAAAGTTATTGGAATAAATATTTAATATTGTTTTATCAATAAGTAATTAGATTCAATCATTCAATCAAACGTACTCATAACCATAAAAAACAAGGTTAAGTTTGACAGTTTAGTGCTTAAACCGTTTTAAATCGTTTAATTTTCAGTTATAAGAGTACTATTATTTAAAAAAATCGAATTATAAATTAAAGTAATTAACATACTTAAAATATCCAGGCCCAAACATCTTTTTTGTAGACTTATTTCCTGAGCGAATTTACACAACAAATTTGAATTTTTTTTTTTAATTGATTTTTTGCAGAATCTGTTTATTGCTTAAATTTTTGTGCTTTATGAAAATCATGTTGGAGATACAGGAAATGTAATGTTCAGAAGTATTCAACTTAAAAATTTTGAAGTAAAGCTTTATTCCCTACTTTTTCATACTACTTGTTCAATATGAAAATTATTCACTTGTGTTTTAAATATAATTTCTACTGAAAGTTACCAATGAATTTGCTGCAAATAAATTTTAAATTAAAGTTTAGCATTTATATTAACCAAAACAATTGTAAATCTTAAATATTTCTGTCTAAAAAGTATGTTAAATCGAATTTTAAAAAATAGACATCGGTTGAGCGAATTTACCCTACATGAGCGAATTTAGCCTCACTTACGGTATTAAATAAATTATTTATTTTTGCATTTAAATTATTGAATTATCTAATAAAAATTTATTTCAAAATGAATTTCAGTTAAAGTTTTACATAATAATTGATTATTAAAAGCATTATAGCATGAATTTTAAGAAATAATTAAATTTTAAAATGGTTTCAAATCAAATTCTTTAAAAATTTGTATTTTTCATACTTATAACTAACAATTCTGTAGAATTAATTATATTAAAAAAGTTTAATTGAATTTTATCCTGAAATTATTTGAAGTGTTTATTTTTTAATTCGTATTTAATTGAAGAATTTCTGAATAATTTAAATTTCGTAAAATTGATTTGTAAACAAATGGATTTTAAAATTGTCAAAGAAATTTTTTCAAAAATTATTAAAAATAATTTATTCCTGTGAGAAAATAATAATGATTAAAATTTATTTAGAAAAGAAGTTATTGATGTTTTTTTTAAATAATTTCAGAAATTGCTAAATAAATGTAATAGAACATTTTTTGAGTGTCTAATTATTTTTAGAGTGTATCAGAATTTTCTTTAGGGTTAGGGAAGAAGTCAAAAT